TAGTTCACAATAAAAGACAGCTTGGCTACATTTTTAAGACCTTTTGCTCTCAACCCTAGAAACACTGTTCCATTGTTGAGTTAATAACCTGATTTTTCTTATTTTTGTTTTTATTTTCTGGCTGTGGCATACGGGATTTTTTTTCCTTTAACTTTGTAATTCAGGTTTGTTTTCTGGGTTGCGTTTCACTGTAGGTCTCTAGTGTTTTATTTCCTGAACCTGGTCAACATGCATACCCAGCTTTGCTTGCTTACTTGTTTTTAAGCCAGTGAAGTTTCCTTCCATTTTAAGGCTATGGCTTCTGTTCCGATGGCCCTGGTGTCTTCCTCCAGAGGACCATAATCTTAGGTCAGAGGACAGTCTTCCGACCTGTCAGCTGCTGCTCGCATTTCTCTCTTTCCTCTTGCTGTGAGTTCTTGAGGGGCTTTGAGTTTCTCATCCAGGTCACTGATATGACCCATCCTTAGGATTCTGTGCCTTACTGCTCCTGATCGCTCTATTATGTGTTTGGTTTTCTTTATTTCATGATTTCACTTCTCTCCATGTTATTGTTTTTCGTCCTCACTGGTGTTTTTCTCCTTTTGTGGCATCTTGCTTTTGTCTTAAGGCAACCATGTCTTTTTGAATCCTGTTGAGGTTACCAAGCAGTTTTCTTTCAAAAAAACAAAACGTTCTCTTTCTTCCAGGAGTTCATTTTTAAATGTTGGATCTTCCTCAGGGTCTCAAATTGCCTTCCCCTTGTCCCACATTTTTTTTCATAGACCCCGTATTGGGCCTATACTAGTTTGATTGATTTTTATTTGTTGGGTTTTTTAAAGCCATACTGGAACAAAGAAACTATATTCAAATAGTGTCTGCCAATGGACAAAATCTACGAAGGGCCTGCATGTTCACCTTCTGTCTGCTTGGACGCTATCTGAATTCTCTGCTCATAGTTCCACAGGAGGGCAGAACAGTGTGCTATGCTTCCGGTCCTATGGCTTGTGCCACTTACCTAGGTTAGCATTGCTGGCCCGAGATCGTTTTCTCCTACTGCCTGTCTTCAGCACTTTACTTTTTATTTCATTCATTCAACAAATGTTCCTTGAGTGCTGCCCAGGCCTCACCAGAAAACACGCTGTGTCCTGGGGCACCGTAGTGGGTAAGACAAGCAAGTCCCTGCTGTCACGGAGCTTACACTCTCATCGTTGCAGGAATGTGACCACAGGGAATACCCTGTGACCAGTTCCTGCAGCCTCCACTGCTGGTACAGTTGTTTTCTCAGAGCTGTTTTCATGGCTGAATGTAGAAACAAAGAATCGGGCTGATGACGAGAAAAGGGTCACTAGTATTGTAGCTGCAATAGAGGAATGTCTGCCCTCATTTCCGTCTGAGGTATTCCCGGCAGTGGGGGCGTTTGCTCCGACTATGTGCTGCAAGAAGCTCAACCAATTGCTCTTCCTAGTTTAGTTCTGTTGATCTTCACCATTAACGAAAAGTTTTCTCAGATTCTGTCTTTAGTTTTAACTCTTGATGCCAGTTTTCAGTTATTTATATCTCCTCTGTCCTCATGGGTATTCTAGGTAAAAAAAAAAAAAAAATCAGACAGGTTATTTTGGACCACAGTGCTGATACCATTTCAAACTTGGAATGTTGATTCATCATTGTTGAGTCTGGGAGTAAATGTGGGATATTTAATGCCAGTATCCAGTAGGAAGGCAGAGATGCAGGCCTAAGCCTGCAGAGAGGTAGGAGAGCTAGAGGCAGACCCCTAGAAATCAGAAGAGAAGGGACCTGCAGAGCCTCACTTGAAAATCGATAAGCTCTCCAGTGATGGGCAAAAACTAGAGGGCCACGGCTATGTTTTTAGAAATGTCAAGAAATGTGAACATTTACATTTCAATAAATATTCCACTTTACTAAATACGCATAATGACCTGGGTTTTTTCCCCCACTCAAACTGTCTCTATTTCTGGCCAAGACAGAGAGAAGTTGGAATCAGAGTCAGGTAATGACTGAACGTCTAGTTCTATAGGAAGTGTGTCTTGAGCACCTTTATGAAAAACAATACACATTGTCTATTTCAGAATTCTATTCTCTACATTGCTACCATTACTTGGAAGCTTGCCAAATTTCAGGCACTGTGCTGAGCACTTTACATGCATTGTCTCATTTAATCTCCACAACAATAGTGTGGGGTAAATGCTATTACTCCCAATTTACAGTAAGAAAGTTGCCTATATAGAAATCCTTTGATGTACTCAAAGTTACATAAGACAAGAGTGGCAGTCAGGGCCATAGGTGTAAGGAACTTACCTTATTTTGGTGCAAGCCTGACCCCAAGCCTGTTATCTTGAGTGCTTTACTGCATCTCACACACGCGTGCACACATACAACACACACGGCAACTGCATGAGTACGTGAGGAACTTCATGAAAACACAGTTACTGTTCAGTGATTTTATTCAAATAAATAAGATGAATTCTATTTGACTTTCATTCAAAAGAAGTATCAAAAGAGTTGCTTTGAAACCTATTCCTTATTCTCATCCTCAAAACATTTATCAGCTCTTCTTTTGGAAATATATTCAGAATTATTTTCAGACAAATATTAACTGACAGTCATACCTTATTTCTGACCAGAAAGCATGGAACATCCGTTGACCAGATTTGTCTCCAGACAACTTCCGGTTATTGTAAAAGGTCATTTTTTCCACTCTAATCAAAATTTCCCCCTATATAAATATTCAAAAAAAAGCTGTCACAAAATAATGTAAGTTCCTTACGTTAACTCACAGTTCTATAACTATAGTACAGGAACAGGCTTGTGCTCCTATTAAAGTTCTAGTGATGAAGACAGTGTAGAAACATCGGAAATGGAAATGTCTTTTATGTTAACATAAAATGTGTTTATGTTTATATTAACACATAGCATTATAACTGCAGTTATATAAAAATACACATTTATTATATACAGACAACAACAGGGACAAATTCATGGTCATAGCTACCTCCAGAGAGGGAAGGAAAAGAATGAGCCTAAGGAAAGGAACAAAGGAGACTTGAATTATATCCTCTGACTTACATACGCATTGGTAAACAATGTATAGGATTTTCACATATACTTTATTAATTTGCAAAAATAAAAAATGATTAAAATTCTGAGGGATATTTCAAATTTTTTCAAAATGTTCTCAAGTATTTCACTGTCTTAAAGGAGCTGGTCTTCATGCTAGTCAAAACTGTCTTCCCTTTCCCATGCTCTAGGCAGCTAGGTCAGTGGACCTGTAGCCTGTGCACAGTAATTCACAAGGAAAATCAAAGATCTTGGCTAGTTTTTCAAGAATAGTTAACCCCTGGGCTAGGGGGTTCTCCCTTCTACAACAAAGCACCAGTTTTCTAGCAATTTTTCTTTGCTGTGGCTGTTTTAAAAGCTATTATTTTTTTCTCTTAAAATTTACAATTATTTGAATACTCAAGTTTACTTTAAGGGTGCTGCTTGCACAAGGGGAATATCAAACTTCCTTGGTCAAGAAACTACAGCACTTTATTAACTATATTATCAAATGTAAACTCCCCAGTCAACATTAAAGACTTAAAATACTGTCCTAGTCGGGTAGCTCAGCTGTTTAGAGCTTCATCTCTATACGCCAAGGTTGCAGGTTTGATCCCCTGTCAGGGCACATACAAGAAGCAACCAACGACTGCATCAGTAAGCTGAACAACTGCATCAGTAAGAGAGAGTAATCAGTCTCTCTCCCACTGTCTTTCCACCCCCCGCGCCCCTCTCCCTCCTCTCCACCCTTCTTCTGTCAAATAAATAAATAAAAATCACCCATCTCCTTTTAGTATAAAGTTTTCTCCATCAAGACTTCTGTATAATGGTTAATTCTTCCCTTATTTGACATAACTCATGATGATTCAACATTGCAAACTTTATGTATAGGATCACAATAATTATAAATAAAGTCCCTGTATTCTGATAACTTTTGTTTCACACCTTCATTGCTTAATAAAATAATATTACAGATATAATTCAAGTCTCCTTTGTTCCTTTCCTTAGGCTCATTCTTTTCCTTCCCTCTCTGGAGGTAGCTATGACCATGAATTTGTGGAGGAGCTTCCAATATGTCCCCTGACTTACATATGCATTGGTAAACAATGTATAGGATTTTCACATATACTTTAAGATTTACAGTACTATCTTCTGCAACTTGCACTTTTCATTCAACATAGTTTTTGAGATCTATCTACATTGTACTGATAGATTTTGTTCATTTAAGTTCCCTGCAGCATATTAATTGTCCTGTGATTGCAGCGTGCTGGAAAAGAAAAGAGCGTATTTGCTTTTTTTTAATTTATTTTGGAGAGAGAGAGAGAAACATCTATTTGTTATTCCACTTATTTGTGTATTCATTAGGTGATTCTCGTATGTCCTGTGACCAGGGATTGAACCTGCAGTCTTGGCATATCAGGACGATGCTCCAACCAACTGAACTACCCGGCCAGGACCTACAGCATAATTCAAAAAGACCTCGAGTTATGCCCTGTGTGACAGGGAAGAAAACTCTTGCCTGAAGAGCTGTCTGCCATGTTTGATTTGGGGAGTGGGGTGGAGTGTCTTTCAAGTGTGAGCACAAGCTCTGAAGTAAAAAGCATCTGGTCAAGGCAAGGATAATATGCGCTGCTGAGCAGGCGAGGGAATGAGGAGTAGTTTTAAAGTACAATTACGCTCACAGCCCGTGCTATTTAAGATACCATTCCTCCCTCCCAGCGAGATCATGTCACTCTGGTGTTGATGGCTGTATTCTTCTGCTGTGGAAGAAAGAGAACTGGAGTAGACAAACGCCTCTGGCATTTGTCTGACACAGATAAAGATGTGGGTCTCCACATCCCCTCCGTAGCAGGAGAGCGTTTGTCGAACACCGCCGGTGAAACAGGCACAGGAAATGCAGCTGCTTGCAATATCATTTCCGCTGAAGCAGGAGCCTTGCAGAGTTTTCTGTCTGTCTTTTATTAAAGGTCCACACACGTTCCTGTCGGGGAGGATCAAGTGCAGCACATGGAGCTAGTTCAGGATCTCGCACGAGGGTTTAACAAGAAGTATGGAGAGTTCTTCCCAGTGCCCAAGTCCATTCTAAGTAAGTAACAAACATGTGATTGATAAATTGGGGCTTTTTTTTTAATCCTTTAGTATTTCAAAACATTTTTAATTTTTTAATTATAATTGACATATAATATTTTATTAGTTCCAGGTATACAACATAGTGATTAGACATTTATATAATGTACAAAGCAATCACCTTGGTTAAGTCTAGTCAACAGGGCATGTTTTGAAGAGAGGATTGGATAATGGACCGAAGCGTGAACTTTCTTGGAGCTAAACTTGGCTTTCTCGCGGACAGGCTTCAGGACTTAGAACTCTCCCCACCTTTTTCTCTCATGTAGGACAAGTAGACCTCGTTGGATAGTTGAATAAAATAACCAAACATTTGAAAAGTATGGGAGAGACTAAAAACTAAAAATAATCATTTTCAAGTATAAAGTATTCTGTAACATCATATATAATAATATATAATCATATATATGATATATATAATATCAATCATTTGGTAGAACAGGTGCCTTTCCCTGTTTTATGGATAAGGAAACCCAGGCTTGGCAGGGCTAACTTTGTGTTCAAGTCCTATATCTAGTTAGTAGCAAAGCTGGGCCCTACATGGAGTTCTGATTCCAGAACCGGTTCATCTTACCTCCTGTATTCATGATAAGACAAAAGCCATGACATTGAGAACTGCTGGATCATAATCCAGATAAAGCCAGAGGGCCTTGGTAATCCTCACACTCTGCCTTCTTAAAGGCACAACCGAGGTAGAATGTTAAGTCCACCTACCAAATCTGAGACCTCAGCAGCGGCTTGCCCGGCTGTGCTGGTTTGGAATCTTCTTGAGGAAAGAAACTGTAAATCTCAACCAACATTTTTGTAGCTGTGTAAACTTGTGACAGGGCCAGAAATCACTGAACCTCAGCTCTGTCCCTCTTTATTAAGCTGACCGCATTTTGATGTGCCCAGTATCAATTTAGAAACGTAAGGCAGGTATAAAGTTCCAGGTTATTCCCACAGTTGTCACAGATGAATTCAGGGCACCCCATGTGCCCAAATCAACCTTCTTTTAGCAGTAAGTAACATTTTAATGTTTTGGCCCATTATTATTTTACCTATTTCAACTTTATATGCTTCTATAATAGCCATAAAATAGGCAATTATTACTACCACTGGTTTATGAAGCACAGCTTAACATCTTGATTCTATCAGAGTAATAAACAAGCTTCTCCTGTGTGTGTGTGTGTTTGTATACACTTATATAATCCTTACTGAGGACTGACACAGATCATTAAAATTGGTTTGGGCACAGCAAGGGCAGTGCCGGTGGGTAGGGAGTGATTAGCTAGTAGGAAAGCACAGAGAGGAAAAGAGAGGGAGAGGAAAGAAATCGACAATCTCTTTTCCCAAGGTGTGCACAATCAAAACTGTGATTGATACAATTTTATTTGTATAAGAGTATACATTTTTATGTGTTTTTGTGCACTCAAAATACATAACAATATGATCAACAAAATGTTAACAGTATCATTACATATTTTGGTTGATGTTTACTTTCATGCTTATATAAATTGCTTGAATTTTACACAGTGAGAATTTCATATTTATATCAGACAAAAATAATAAAGTCATTGGGTATTCTTGGCTTTTTTAAAGATCTAGATGCTGACATTCCTAATGATTTTTTTACATTGTCATTGTTTTGTTTTGTTTTTGGGGTGTGTGTGTTTGTATTTTCACCTAAGCATCGATGAAGAAGGTAAAATCCCTCCGTGATCCTTCTGCCAAAATGTCAAAATCAGACCCAGACAAACTGGCCACTGTCAGAATAACAGACAGCCCAGAGGAGATAGTGCAGAAATTCCGCAAGGCAATGACGGACTTCACCTCGGCGGTCACCTACGACCCAGCCCGCCGTCCAGGCGTCTCCAACCTGGTCGCCATCCACTCCGCAGTGACCGGGCTGCCCGTGGAGGAAGTGGTCCGCCAGAGCTCTGGGATCGACACTGCTCGCTACAAGCTGCTCGTGGCAGATGCTGTGATTGAGAAATTTACTCCAATCAAGAGTGAACTTGAAAAACTGAAGTTGGACAAGGACCACTTAGAGAAGGTTTTACAGGTTGGGTCAGCAAAAGCCAAGGAATTAGCATATCCCGTGTGGCAGGAGGTGAAGAAGTTGGTGGGGTTTCTATAGGGAGTTTCAACCAATGACGAAAAGGCTTTCCTACTTGGCGGCCGGGGCACTCCAATAGAGGCAGCTTTCCTCGCAAGCAAAAAATTATACTTTGGGGACATTTAGTTTGGTGTACCTGATATTGGCTTCATTTGATGAATAATGCTTTGTAGGCCTCAAATAGAGCAGCGTTCTAAATCCCATCAACAAAGTGCTGTGGCCGGAATAAACAAAACAAAGAAGGCATAGCTTTCTGAATCCTCAATTTTTGAGGTAGACTCTTTGGCCTGAATTAATCTACACAGGTATGATTGAGGTGATCAGTAATTTGGTAAATGGGGGTGTCATTCGTTTCTCTCTTGAGTGCATGCTGTCACAGGTGGTCACTGCATCGGTCCCCACCTTGCTACAGTCACATGTAGAGGTCTTCGACTTACAATCCCTGGGTTGCTATTTGGACCAATTTGTATTCAGATCTCATAAAAATAATTTGATGAAGACAGTTCATTTGTCACTGAGGTGGTGCCTGCTTTAATGGATATCAACTGCGTAACTTGTTTCCCAAGAGATTATAGTGATTGTTCCAGATTGTTCCAGAATGTTCTTTTAAAAAAAAAAAAAAATTAGAGATGCAGGATATAATCTGAAAAGGCTCTGTTATTTCAACTTGATTTATTTGTTGTACAAGAGCCCAGTCCCTCCCTAGGTGATGTCTCTAATAAATACTTCCTTGCATTTCTCTCTTGAGTTTCATCTCACCCCCTGTGAAATACACGGGAGAAGAACTCCCATTTTACACTGGGGGGAGGGGGAGTCTCAGGGGGTGCATTACTTGGACAGTATCACTCAGGAAATGAGAAGCAAATCGAAGATCAAAACCTTTACGCCTTACAGGAGCCTCCAACCATGCTTATTTGGAAGGTGGGTCCTGGAAATATGCCCTTACAAGACCTGAAACTACTGGTACTCTTTTTATCAGCAACTCAACCCATAGCAACCTGCTTTAAATCTGGTTTAAGCCAACCCAGTCACATTTGCTCCTAACAGTCCCCAAGGAGGTAAGTCCCGAGTTCTGTCTCCTGTACTTGCTGCACAGGCACTTCAAAGTGTCACCTGCTGGACTCCAACAACAGTGAGTCCCAGACCATCGTGAGCGGAGGCTTCACGTCTTGCCTCCACCTCAGTCTCTCTGAGTGACAGCAAGTCACTCTGAAACCTAGCTTCTCGGTAATTCCATTGCCCACACCTGAAAGGGGGATGGCGATCCCAACGTACCAGGATCTATTAGCAAGATTGATTTTGTAACAGAAACTGCTTGTAATTTTTTGCCAATGAATATTACGATTGTCATTTATACGTAAGAGACTTGTACATTGGACACAGAATTTTTTTTGGTCCTCACCCAAGGATATGTTCATTGATTTTAGATAGAGGAAGGCTGAGAGAGAGAGAAAGAGAGAAAGAAACATCAATGTGAGAGAGAAACATCAATTGGTTGCCTCCGGTTACATGCCCTGACTAGAAATCAAGCCCACAGCCTCTTGGTGTACAGGAATGATGCTCCAACCACTGAGCCACCCAGCCAGGGCTGGGCAAAAACTTTTACTCACGTTTCTTAAGTGAGTAGAATGGTTCTTGTATTAACAGATATAAAATCACAAAACACTGCATCCCAGAATCCAATGACAAGACCCTTTTTTATCTTTTCTTGGAATGGATATCAATAGTCCTAGTGCAAAGCTCTTTGGGCATATTTCCAAGTCCTCTTCCCCCCCCCATAAAGGAACCCTGTTATGAGTACTGAAAAATGACAAAATTAAAGATGGATCTATCAAACTAATTGTCTGTGTGTTTATCTGTGTGTTTCTTCACCGCCTTGCAACACCCTGTGTCCACAGAACTAAAGGTCCCCTGGAAGGAATCTCAGAGAACTAGATGGCTTGTGATGGCTCCCGAGCAGCAAACCCTGCTCAGGTGAGCTGGGCTTGTGAGCATCCTGCCGTTGTTACTTCTTAAAAGTGACCCAAGGTCTCAAGTCCAAAATCGGTCCATAATGACTGAGACGTGCCCAGTGACCTCAGGACGTTGATAAAAGAGCCAGCGCTGGAACCGAGGTCCATTTTCACACCCCTTTCACGTAGCCGTTTACAGGCACGATCTCCACTGAGATGAAAAATTGGGAGCCTTCTGACTTGTGGCTCACTTAAAAAAGTGGTTTTCATCGTTATTTTCTCTATGTTTTGTGGAGACTTGAAATGATGATGAATACTGCAGGTGGCAGTAATGAACAGTGGCCGGGTCACTCGGTGCTCTGTAGCTCTGCCAACTGACCAGCCCCACTTCAAACCACCTTGATAGACTGTCACTTGTCCGGGGTATATTGCCCTTGGTAGCTGCCCCATAAACATTTATCAAAATAATGTTAGAAAATGGGCTAGAGATTCCTAATGAAGTTTGTTTTACAGAAACCTCTTGACACACACACGTTGGTGCTGATCATAAAACAATAATGTATCAGTCATCAAAGTAACTGTGTAATTAACTGTTTTTCCTAGTGCGGTCCCCAGAGCAGCAGCGTGAGTACCACCTGGGAAGTCATTAAGAACGCACATTCTCCAGCTCTACCCTAGGCTCAGCGAATCAGAACTTTGGGGATGAACATAGCAGTTTGTTTAACAGCCTTCCAGATTTTTCTGAAGCATGCTAACCTCTGAGAACCACTGAATTCTCTCACTTTCTCATAACGCAATAAAGCGAGACTGATCACTCTTACATTACTGAGAATGAAAACGAGGCCTAGGAGGCTGAGTAGCTTTGCTAAGACAGTTCAGCCTCTAAGAGGTAGAGTCAGGTCATCTGGTGCGGGGCCCCGCTCAGGCCACAGTGCCTCCTGCAGTGTCTCCTGGGGGGGGTTAGTGTAACGTTCTCAAAGGGTGTGCTGTCCAATAGGGTACGTGTCTGTAAATTTAAATGAAGATTAAATAAATAACCCACGTCCTCAGCAGCAACTTCCAAGTGCCCGGTATCCTCAGTGGCTAATGGCTAGTGTAGTGGATGGTGCAGGTGGGGAATGTTCCTATAATCACAGAAATGTCTCCTGGACACCACTGCTTTAAGGCATTCAGTTTACAGGTTTTGCTTGTAATAGGCCTTCCCTGGATAGTTCCTCACCTAGAGAATTTGTGAAGCTAGTAAAAGAATTACGGAGAATGACAAACCATTTCATCTCCCAAATAATAGTTAGATCATAAGGGCTGACATGTATTCTACACCTGCTGTATGCTGAGCGCTTTGTGTATTTATATGCCATATCTCATTTAATATTTGTATCACCCTTAAACTATTAGTGCTACCTTTTTAAATAAGTAAGCTGAGGTTCGGCCGGAAACCACATATTTATTAGTCTCTAGTTTCTCCTAGTTAGGAACTAGTGGGGACACCTCTTAACTAGTGTGCCCACAGACGTGGCCTACCTCCTTCTGAGCGAGAGTAGATGTCTCAGTGCCTGTGACCCTCTGCTCTGTGTCCCATGACCTTAGCCCTCACGCTCCCCCCAACCCCCCCCCCCCGTCAGTGCTCAGACCATCATCTCCGCGGCTCTCCACCCGCGGCACGGCAGGTGTCGAGGCTGCTTTCCCCACGGCCCGTGCTCCCCCAGCTCGCCCGTCCCGAGCTGTGTGCCTGTGTCACTGGCGGCTCTTGTTCTCCCTCCCTTTAACATGATGACTCCGTCCTCACTGCATCTTCTCCCTGTGAGATCAATATTCTTTTTTTCACCCTGTCAACCAGATGGGTCTTTTGAAATTTCTTGGGCTGGGAGGAGTCCATCCCTCCCTGAAATTGAGCTGAAGACAGACCGCCTCTCAGTAGTGTAACATTTTCAAACACCCCTACAGGCAGAACAACCTGGAGGCTCTACTGTTAATCATTTAAGCCCTTGTATGGGAACTTTCACAGCCCTGTTATATTGCCGGGGGATTATCCCCTTTCTCCAGGAAGGAAACTGATGTTCAGAGCCTAGTGACCTAACCCTCAGATGTGTATCAATAATTCAGCATTATGGCGATGTTTACATAAGGCCTATTTTGTGAAAGGCACAGGGGAAATAAAATATGCCTATGATTTAAAGTAAAGGAGACACACAGCTAGCAAATGCTGGTGAGCATAAGAATGAGTGATTAACCAAGATGTTTTAGAAAGACATACGATAGAGGATAGGAGAGAGGGCCTTCCAATCGGAAACTAGGACACAGACATGTGACAACATTTAGGGAAAAGCAAATCCATACAGTATGTATGCAAAATGAGAATGGAAATATTAGATTGAACCATACAAAACTCAAGATTTGACTACTATTTTTTTACCAACAAATCTGGTAGTTCCATGTGGATCAACCTAATACACACGTATCCAAGGAACAAGCTGGAGCCCCTGTTCTGCAGGCAGCATCTAAGCGCCAAGAATTAGAAATGAGGCACAGTCTCCACCCTCGGGCTCCTTGTCTATGTAAAAATGAATTTGGGAAGCCAGTGAGAGGTAGAATAGGAACTAGAACCAAAGCTTTCTGAGTCTTGTCACTCTCCTGGGTACATCAACTACGACAATTAGTTCTTAATTATTTAGAATATGACTTCTACGTGGTACACACATTTAATGGTCCTCAAATAAATAGAATATTTATTATTTGATGTAATAATTGGCTTTATGGAATGCAAATTGGTTTTGTTTTTTTATATCCCCTCCCTACTCCAACCCACACACGCACACAGTAAGCCAGGTTGGCAATCATCATTTTCTAAAAGTTTTTCTGAAAAAGTCGATGATTATTATATATACTCACTGCCTTACTCATCGTATCCACCTTAATCCCTTTTGCAAATGAGATTTTAAAATACAGACCGCTTCTATCTGTGAACACAAGGACGAAGAAGCGTGTGGCATCGAACGCCAGAATCCGCACCCGCTGGCCACAGGGAGGCCCACTGAGAACAACTAACCAGTTCAAATAACCGAGTTATCCAGAGAGTTCCCTGGGCTTGCAGTAGCCTCCCTCCAAAAAGAGGAGCTCCCAGGATGATCAAAGAAGACAAAACACTGTGTGGCCATGGGAACCAGACCTAGGAGAGAAGTTTTCCACATAAGTCAGCTAGTGAGTGAGCGCGAAGGGTGTTATTCCTTAGTGGTATTCCAGAAGAAAGGTCTTGTGCTGGAGGGGGAGGTGGGTACCATGGGGATTCAAACATTGTTTTATGAGAGATTCCCCTCCTGGGGATTAACAAACAGTGAAATTCCAGAGGCTGCAGGTTCCTTAGTCAATTACTATTATTCTTCCATTGTTTTTATGCCTGCCTTTTCTGCTTGCTATTCTCTAGTCATGTTTAAAGCTCCTGCAAGCTCAGTACAAAGACAGAGCATTCGCTGGTGATTAGAGTGCCCTCACATTCACGAATAATGGGCATTTGCTCCTTGGCCTCTCCCCGCCACCCCACCCCTAACTAATGCCCAGCCAGCTAGTGCTGCTGCTGCTGCTCCTGCTTCTGCCTCCCAATTGCTTTTTCT